CCCATACGCCTGTGCGCAGACGTCTCCCAGTCTCGGGCCGATTCAACAATCCGAACATATGAGCCATACTGGGTCAAGTTTCGAGCCTTTTGTGCAAAGGTGAACCTCCCATTCCTCCTCACGGCGGACATGACCCTCGCGCTGTACCTGGTGTACGCGATCCAACACAAAGCCACCTTGTCCATGGTACAACTCACATGCTCAGCCGTGAGCTTTGCACACCGCATGACTGGGAGCATCTGCCCAACGATCGGACCATTCACCACTCAAGTACGCGATTTCGCAAAAAGGCACTGCCCTCGCCCCATGCGAGTGAAGGAGCCTGTCTCGCTGCAACAAGTCCACGACATGTCTGCCAGCTACCTGCAATCCGACAACCCAGGAGAGTTCCAAAAGGGGCTAATCCCCATCCTCATGTACACCGGATTTTTAAGATATACTCGGACCTCATCGTCATCGAGTGGCAAGACATCCAGTTCGAGAACGAGGTCATGTGGATTCTAATTCCGTACTCCAAGACGGACCAAGCTGGAAGGGGCACATGGATACCCATCGCCGCAACTCATGACCCCTTTTGCCCCGTCCGCTGCACCCGACGACTCATCCAACTTGCGGGGTACAACCAGCAGTCCGCGGGGCCACTTATTCGAGTCTTTGGACGCGGTTCACCCCAAAGTGGCCAAGCAAGGCCGCCATCATACCCGACGATCCGAAACTGGTGTAAAGAAGCGTTCGGGAGGATCGGATTAGGAGAACAGCAGCTGGGCACTCACTCCTTTCGCAAAGGAGCAGCCACTGCCGCGGCAAACACCAGTGTGCCAGACAGAATCTTCAAACGACTGGGCAGATGGCGCAGCGACACGGCGAAGGAGATGTACGTCACGCCCAACGCCGAACACCTCGTCAACGCCTCCCGTCAGTTGCAAGATCTGGCATACGCCCCTTCTTCAGCGCAGCATGCCGAGGCACTCGTCCGCCATCGAAAGCCCCCGCTGCCCATGTCTCAGAGACCCCAGTTGCAATGAGAACGATGCCAAATGATCAGTATAAGAAAGCAAGCTTTCTAAATATGATAATTTTTAAACACACGAAGTGTTTTTCAAAATTACGTATTTCGAAAGCGCAGCTGCCTGTAACGCAGATTTGGCATCGTCGAAGCGCGCTAAACGCCCTTCTCCAACTACAAAACGTGGGTTGGAGCTCATTTCCCTCCACCCACGTCTCTCATTTTCCAACGGCTCATGCAACTCTCCCACCCCCCACCCCGACACCGAGGACATCTGCGACGCCGCTGGAACAGGAGGACAGACAGTTAGTCATATGATTGGTAGTACGCACGCATAATGCAGGATACCTAGTACAATGCTATGGTAGGTGGAATCAGGTCATGTACTAGCATCTATATTGTCTAGCTCGAGGTGCATGTTGTAATTTGCCAGTTGCAATGAGAACGATGCCAAATGATCAGTATAAGAAAGCAAACTTTCTAAATGCAGCATTTCTAGTGTCAGATACTTTGTGCCCTCTTCTTTTGTCAAAGGGCATGAAACATGTAATATATTTTATAGACTTCATGGATTTACATACAGTAACGAATTTCTTCGAAAGCACTCACTGTCACGCGTCAGCCACGAAACCGAAGCGATTTGCGAGCTCAGCACAGACCTGTTCGGGAGTGGCAGCTGTCTTCCACATTTGAACCCCCAACAAGCACAAGTCTCGCAACATTCTCCAAGCAGCTTCTCAGTCAGGCTTTTCCAAATGGAGTTTCGTCCAAGGTCATGGGCAGATCACATGGCCTCGCTCTCAAGCCGACCGGCAGGAGGCTCTGGCTTGCCTCCGAAGCCCGCTTTGTCGTCGTTTTGGAGATCTCAACTTTCTCAGAAAACAAAGAGCGTGACCTTTTCGCAAATGAGTGAACCTTACAACAGCCAAGACGTGACAGACTCACAGTTAGATTCGCAACCTGGTGCTGGTTGTTCCCAAAGCCAGGACCAGGGGTTTTCGCAAAGTCAAGCAGACCCCTATATCCAATATTTAAGTCAACCCGAACTAGTGCCAACACCTGTGGAGGAGAACAATGGATGGGTTGGACTAAGCCAGCCAGTGAGCTTAATTGTCAAGAAAGAAGAACCACGACCCGCAGCTGTTGAGTCTTCTCTTTGTTTGGAAATGTATGCGGACATTTACAGCAGCCTTGTGCGAGAAGACAAAGACGGGAAGGTGCTCGCATGCACGGGTCTGGACGAGCTGAAATTCAGACGAGGGGATTTGAAAAAGGTGAAGCTTTTGACATACGTTGTTGAATTTTGTCAGTCCAATTTGCCTTGAGCTAATTTGCAGCTGAGCAGGTGCTCGCCATCCACGGCCTTGCTGATGGAAGCTCCAAGTCGAGAAAGGTACGATTGTGTCCATGCCATCCTTACTTCAATGTTATTGTTCTTGTCTTACAACCTCCTATCATTGACAGGACGTCTTGGCGTCTCTGGTTGGAATGCGGCTGTGGCGCCCGTTATGTGAGCTTTCAAAAGCCGTTGAGTCAACGAAAGTACGAATGCCACCTCTCGATGAAGTAAAGCAAGATCTAATGGCGGTGGGCTGGCTGGATAGTCCTGTCAACGAACTTCTGAAAGTCGAGATGAAGGACACTGGAGTTGCTGCTGTTGATTTGAGCAGCCAAGCGCCAGAGAGCCAAATTGAGCCTGGAAGTCCTCGGACGACAACACTGAAGGGTTTAGAATCCAGGCTTCCTTCTGTGCCAGAGAAAAGCCTTGTGGCTGAAGCTGTGGCAAAGCTTCTCAAGATGGAGCAATGCCCGCCAGTGGACTTGGCCGAGAACGTTTTTAAGTCGGACTGGAGGAATGTGCTCACTCTGACGAGTTCAAGGCCTATCAAACGAGAAGCAGCAGAAACTTCGGATACTGGCAACATGATGGTCATTTCCACACCACGACCTAAGCTTGTAAATTCCGGCACATCCATGGACGATCCGTTTCCTGGGCCCGACCGCTCTATGGAGCGTTGTGGAGACTCTTTGAAGCAAAATTGCACGGTGAGGCTCATTTATTCGACCGTTTTTGTTATTTGGCAAGTTCTGACAGGAATGTCCACTTGACAAGAGATTCTGGTATACCTGAGCAGGCCATGCGCGGGCCTCTTGTTCAATTACTGGAGAAGGCTAACAGCGCTGGAATAATGGAGCAGAGGAGCAAATGTGGAGTGATGGAAGCGCCCAGGTCCTTGGAACAGCAGCTTATTGTTGATAAACAAGGAAAAACTTCTGTGCATGCAGAGGAAACAGACATGAAAACCGGTATCTGCGACGGCAAAATACCAGTTTTGGCAACGGCACCACAGATTAAACCCGAACCAGCAGAAATTGCAGAAGAAATATTTAAAGGGCCTGCTTCTCCTCCTAGCCCTTTTGATGAGCAGATTTCTGGAGCAGCTTCAGTGGACTGGGTATCGTTGGAAAACCAGGTTTTAAGGTTATCTCTCCATTTGCAAATTGACACAAACGAGGTCAAGCCAAACTCGAAGATCGGGAGGACAGTGATAATGGTGTCTCTCAAGGTATGTCTATTTCAAGCGTATTACCGCATTTCTGGTTAGGGGAATTGCATCTTCTCTTCATGCATTGCTGCTGCTGTTCAGGGGGTCAACAGCAGTCACAGGAATGACATCACGAAGTTGCAGCCTTCAGTCCATGTAGGGAGAGTTATGCGGACTGTAAAGAAGTCCCATATAGCCGGAATATGTTCAAAGGACTGCATGGTAAGATGGAAGTGCATAAGGGCATGCTTCTGACCCACTCCCTATGTTGTCATTGCTTAACCAGTTTTCATGTGTGTCATTGCAGAAGTCGCATTCCCCCTTCAGGATTCGTTCTCAAGGAGGGGACCGAGCTAGCATTGCTGACTTGACTGTGGATCTATCTGACAGCATGAGAAAGTTCAGCTGGGATGAATTGTGGACTGCAGCTAAGGCGAAGGACTCCCGTCTTCATGGAGCTTGGGTTATGACAAGCAGGGCTGAGCTTTCTATGGCAGAAAGCCAGAAGCATGCGAATGTGCGCCAAAGGCCATTCCTGCACCAGAAAAGGAAACTGTCAAAAATGGTGAGTTAGCAAACGCCAGAACATGTTCGAGCCTGTGTACTTACTTGCTGCACCAATAAATGAAACTGTAAAAAATGGTGAGTTTACAAACGCCGGAACATGTTCGAGCCTGTGTTCTTGCATCCATTCTTAAGGCTTTCTTTTTTCCAACCCACATCTATTGTGGCAGACCCCTGCAGGTGCATTTCAACAACAAGAACTAAAAGTGGGCTCACTTGTTTGGGCCAAAGATCGGGGTATCTGGTGGCCTGCTGAGGTGAGATTAATAAAGTACTGTCTTTTCGTTCATGCAGCCTGTAAGTTGCAGTGGCTGACACTACCCACCAGCACAGATAACAATAGCCGCTGACGAAGATGAGCCATTTGGGAATGTTGAGGTTAAGCTTTTTGGAGAACCCCGAGTGAGGTATGGAGCACAAATCAGCCTTTCAGCTGAATCATGTCATCTCAATCATTGCATTGCACTAAATTCTTTACACTGCAGAATGAACGTGGGGCACTCATCCCTTGAGCCATTTCTGGAAAATGCTGCACGGCACAACTGTGGCAAGCATTCATCTGCATTTAGAACTGCAGTGGCTGACGCGATGCTGAGAGCATCCCCTTAAAGGAAGTGCACGGCTTGGAATGCAGTGTCAAGGTTTCAGCTTCAATTGGGAGTAGTGACAGGAAGAAGAGGAGATGTACCAGATTATAATGGAAACACGTCCAGTATGACAGCTGGTTCTGTCATACGTTGGAATAGGACACTCGAAGCTTCTGACAACGGTTCTGCCATCGAAGTGTTCAATACTGGTGCTGAGTGCACCTGACAAAGCACATCCCTCAAGACTACACATCTAATGTACAGCCTACATCTGCCCCCCACAGCTCTGGTCATGACTCATGACGCTTGTGGGATGACATTCTCAGGAGGAGGCTGTGAAAGTGTTGTTGCGCGCAGCAACTCCAGGGTCAGCACTAGTCCAAGAAAGTGAGAAAGAGCAGTGTTGCCAGACGCCTGCAAGGAGGCCAGAATGGAAGTAGCAAACATAATACTTATATTTGTTTCCCTTTCCAAGCTCATTTGTGACTCCTGAGGATTCTGAGCATTTCACCATCAACTAGGTGACCCAGCAGCAAATAAAAGTAAAAATCAGATGATGCTAGCCATAATCATGGGGATCAGCATGCACGCACCTGAACAAGGAAGACGTCGAGGGCCAGAACAGGGTTGTAGCCGGTGGGGAGGCCGACAGCACCATAGATGGGAGTGGAGGAAGTAAGGGCTTTGGCAACGAGCACTCCAACAGTGGCCTGGAGGCCGAGGAGAGTGGCTCCTAGGCCAAGCAAGTTGATAATGAGGCCATTCTTGAGATTTGCCACCACTGAAGAGCGAGGAGGGGCCTGCAAATGTGATTATGCATATGAATGGATGAATAAGACAAATGAAACGGCCTTGAAACCTACTGAGCTAAGAGCAGTCTGTCGGCAAGGCAGGGCGGGTTCTATATAGTTACCACCATGGAGGAGGGGCGCTCAGGCATAAGCTGGCATTGCACCATCAAAGGATGAGAGCAAGGAACTCAGGAACTCTAAATCACCCACCTTCATGGGGTTCTCAATGGCATTGCGCAGCCGATCGGCCAGCCTGAGGTACCCAAATGACCAGAAGACAGACAGAAATGCGGCCACGATTCCAGCCGACGTGAGATACGTGGAAACTGGAGCTGTAGGCCGACCAGAGATGACAATGGAAAAGGTGAGGATCACGGAGGCGACAACAGAGCAGACCAGCTGGCCCCAGAATCCGATAATTCCCAACTGGCGGAAGTATTTGGCCGTACGTTCCACCCGCTTCGAAGCCTGGTGGCGAATCGTGAGTGGGAAGGTACAATCGAATATGGGAGTGGTTGAATTACGAAACTGGGGACGCCGTAATAGGTTTGGAAGTAGTAAAAAGTAGCATAGATTCACAAAGCCAACGAGTAAAATAATAAACGCCATGGAATAAGTATGCGGACGATTTAACAGGAGCCAATAAAAACGGAGCACGGAATCCACTCCGCTCACCTGCTCACGCCTCGCGGCCTCCTGGGGATCAATCTCCTGCTCATACTCGTAGCCCGGTGACACGTAGTCAGCAGCGCGAACGGACCAATCGCGACGCGTTGAGTCGGACGAAACTACTCCACGCTGGAAAGGCCCCGAAGAAGGACCAGAGGACGAGACTGCAGTCTGTGCGCGAGCAGATAGTGGTCGGGTAGAGGTCACTACCGGCGAACGCGCAGGAAGAGCCGGGAAACGGCAGAACGAACTGCTAAGATTCTGACTGTGGATGGAACGACGAGTCGTTAGGGAGAGCGAACCGCTAGGGGAAACAGCTGCGACATTCGGGCGAAAAAGAACTTGGGAAGCCATGGCGGAATTGGCCTTTTGAACTGAATCAGCAGGTTGAACTGAATCGAGAATTGAGCTTCTAGAAAGATTTGGTCGAAGCAGAGATGAAGGGGGAATGGCTGGTGCCCACAAAGACCAGCGAAAGCCATTCCGAGAGAGCTACGAGTTGGCGACATCTGTTACCGGACAGGTTGTGTTGTGGTGGCCTTCGTCACGGGACGAAATGGGTGTCCTAAGTTCCAGGTTGAAATGTCTGGAGGGCGGGGAGGGGACAAACCCGCAGAACGGCCCTTCAGTGCCTGCCCACTGGTCGCATGGGAGAGATTCAATTCCCACATATCAACTTCCACACCGCGGTCGAGTCCGCTGGTGCGAAAGCCATCTAGGTGCCGTTGCGCGTCAGCATGACTCAATGTGCAAACAATCCTGCCATATCCGGTTCAAATTCCCGCCTTATATTGTCGCGCGTACTGCTCGCCGTCGCATACCTTATCGCGGTCGCCGTCGCAGTCCTCTCCTTCTCCCCGCAACTCCGCCTGGCGGAGCGGCGAGCATCGCCTGCTCGGGGCGGCGGGTCAGGCGTTGAATACGGGCAAGAGGATGTCGAGGGGCGGTACGGAGGCCGTCGAGCGCGGCGATTGGAAGACGAAGAGGCCGCATTTAACGCGAGCTTCGACTTTAGTCTCAACGAGACGTGGAAGGAGGGATTCTTCAACATGACGCTCGAGATCGAGTGAGTCCGCTGATTCATGCTGCTGCTGCACGCGCTTGGCCTGAAGCCGCTTACAGTTGCTGTGAGTTGCGGTCGCGGATTCACGCGTGTCATATTAAGGTTTCCGCAATGCGCTTGAGCTAGAGACGTGGTGTTGCTCTCACGGACATGCGGTGTCGTCGTAGCTGGACTGATGCGCGCTTCCCCCATTCCAACCACCCCCACGTGTCTTAACAGGAAGTGGCGGGCTGGCGGCGGCTGTGATCGTTTTCGTGAGCGCTTCTCGTCGCACCTCCACGTGGACTTGCTGCAAGACGACGACCCCGCCTCCTGGCCTCCCAACCCCTCGCTCCAGGTCGGTACAAACCCCCATAGGCTTCTTTCCCCCCCCACTGCATCACCACATTGCTCCATGATTGCACGGGCGCATCACCACCCGCTCCATCCTCCCCCTCCTTTCTCGCTCACACCCATCCCCTCCTCCCGCCGCCCCCATCGCCCGATTCATGCAGCCGCTGTCGCTGCCCGAGTGTCCGCGGATACAGCAGCGGCATGTGAGCGTGCGCGTGCAGCCGCCCTTCGTGTGGTTCGGGCAGCGCTTTGGCAACCGCCTGGGGCTGGAGGGCTCTCACACGTGCGCGCACTGCGGCCTCACGTGCACGGTGAGTGGCGACATGCGTGTGCTGCTGTGAGAGGCATCATGAGTGTGTTGCTGTGCTGTGAGGGGCGTGAGGGCTGTGAGGGGCGTGAGGGCTGTGAGGGGCGTGAGGGCTGTGAGGGGCGTGAGGGCTGTGAGGGGCGTGAGGGCTGTGAGGGGCGTGAGGGCTGTGAGGGGCGTGAGGGCTGTGAGGGGCGTGAGGGCTGTGAGGGGCGTGAGGGCTGTGAGGGGCGTGAGGGCTGTGAGGGGCGTGAGTGCATTGCGGCGAGTGCCTGGTCCTCTCACAGTCGAGCCCTAACCCCTGGTTGCACGGCTCACTGCATCACTCTCACACAAGCTCCCAGCTTCCTCCGCTCCTCTTTCTCCCTCTCTTGCGCGCCCCTGGCAGTTCTCCTGGGAGGAGCAGGTGGTGCCTCGCCCCGACGTGCTGCTCTTTGTGCGCCAGTACGGCCCTCTCAAGGAGGCCGAACAACGGGGTGAGTGTGCCTTGTTCACACCACGCCACGTCACACCACACCACTTGGCAGGGGGGCACGGATGCACTCACCACGCTGCCCCCCCGCCCAATTCCCCCCCTTTCCTTGCCCTCCTTCGCCCCGCCCTCCCCCTCCAGCCATGGATGCGCTGACCACACGGCCTCCCCACGAGCGGCCGCTACTGGCCCTGCTGGACCCCGAGGCAGCCCCCACGGGCGCCACAGTGCCCGACCGCGAGATCTTCTCCCCGTGGGTGCCCCCGGAGCAGCGCGCGCAGTGGGACGTGCTGGTGGGGTACCACCGCGACAGCGACGTGCAGATCACCTATGTGGGCATGAACGATGACGAGGCGCGGAAAGACCTCGTCTCCAACATCAAACTCGCTGTGAGTGAGGATGGAAAAAGCCACTCCGCACGCCACTGTCTATACGTGCACGCGCTTGCAGATCTGCCAATGTGCATTCAGTGCTGCCATTGTCCCTATCTTTTCCCCGAACCCCTCTCATGCGGTACCATGCAGGGTGTGCCGCTGTACCGTGCAGGGTCGCAGCAAGCGCGTAGGGTGCGGACATTCTGCGGGTGGTGCGCCACCACTCGTTCTCCCTTGCCGATTTTTGTCCCCCACTGTCGCTATCCAACCCCCTCTTCACCGTGCCATGCAGGGAGTGCCGCTGTACCGTGCGGGGTCGCACTGTTCTGTGCACTGGAGGGAGGCGATGGTGAAGGACATTCTGCGCGTGGTGCGCCACCACTCGTTCGGGCGCTGCCAGTTCAACATGCACCGCATCTCCGAACTCATTGCTCACCCCACCTGCCGGTAGGCCACAGCTGCACCGTGTGGGCTTCTCACAGCTCCTTGCTCTCACCACCTCCCAGTAGGGCAGCAACGTGACTCATGAGTCGAGTTTACAAGCCACCTCATGTGGTGCGTGCGCCACCACTCGTTCAGCCACTGCCAGTTCAACATGCACCGCATCTCCGAACTCATCGCCCACCCCACGTGCCGGTAGGACAGCGCGCACCACCTACGTAGGTTAAAATGACCACCAACACAGGGTCATTTCAAGTAAGTCATGTGTGCTCCTCGCACTTCCCATGCGCCAGCACACCACGTGGGCGGCAGGCGTGGATTCTGGCAAGTCAACGTTCACCTCTCCTGTCATTGTGTTGCCCCTCGTCCCCTCCTCTCCGGCCCTCCCCACCCGACACCCCACTCTTCCTCCACCCCATCCTCACGCGCCCTGCAGCACGCCTCTGGACAAGTGGACAGCGCGCACACACTGTGTGGAGTCGAGGTACAAGTTTGCCATCGCCGTGGAGAACAGCGAGCGGGAGAGCTACGCCACTGAGAAGCTCTTTATTCCCTTCGATGCCGGTCAGTCGCTGCCCTGCCTTCCCCCTCGCCAACCCCCTCTCCCCTCCCCTCCTCCTACCCTGTCCCCCACTTTCCCCCTTTTTGTCCCCTCTTCCCCCCTTCTGCCCCGCCTTCTTCCGCTCTCATCCGTTTTGCCCCCTAATCACTCCCTGTCCCTGCTTGTTCCCCAACAATACACTTCTGTCAGCACCACCCTTCCGCAGTCGCCACTCTGCACCTCACTGCACCGCCCTTGCCTCCCATATCTCCAGGCACGGTACCGGTGTACTATGTATACTCCGGTATAGGGAGCACCTGGCAAAGCGGGCGTCATTTGAGTTCACGTTGAGGGTAGAGCTATTGATAGTGGGGCTGTCGGCACCACCCTTGTCTCCCATGCCCCCAGGCACAGTACCGGTGTACTACGGAGCCCCGGACGTGGCACACCTGGCACCGCCCGGGTCGTTCATAGACATGCGCGCCTTTCCCAACAAGACGGACGTGGGGGTGCTCATCAACCAGCTCGATGCAAACGCCAGTAAGCCCTGTGCTCCCTCTCCCGGTTTGTTTGGAGTCGCCTCCATACACACCGCCTGGGTCGCTCATAGACGTGCTGGCCTTTCCCAACAAGACGGAAGTGGGGGTGCTCATCAACCAGCTCGACACCAACGCCAGTACACACTTCTCTTCCACTCCCACTCTCCCCCTCCCCCTCGCTCTCCGTCATTCTTGCCTCTCATCGCCTCGCCCTCCCTTGCTCTCCCTCCATGTCCTCTCCAACCGTGTCTTTTGAGAGTTCCCCTCCCCCACTTACACACCTCTTCCCTCTTGCCATGTCCGCCCCATCCTCCTGCCCCCTTCTCTCACAGCGCAATACCTGGACTACCACGCATGGCGCATCTGCAACAGCAGTGGCAACCTCAAGCACGCCGCGGCCCTCTCCATCCTCACCCTGCCCTGCCGCCTCTGCCTCAAGGCCGCTCTGCTGCTCGCTGACAGACAGGAAGCAGCAGCTCCAGGGGAATCTTCGGCCCCGTCTGCATCCCCCCCCTCTCCCGCCGCACCTCCCCCTGCTGAATCTCCTCCTCCATCCCCTGCGTCTGATGCTTCTGCTCCTGTGCCTGCTCCTCCTCCCCTATAACCCCCTCCCACTCCTCCTCCTCCCACCTCCCCTCGACCGCAACCGCTGGCAGCACCCCCGCCCACCACGGCACCACCTCCCCATGCACCCCTTCTCCCCACCCTCCCCCCCCCTGCCACTTTGCCTGGCCCCGCCTCTACTGTCTCGTTTGCACCTTCCTCCACGTGCTGCTGGTAAGACATGTGAGCCCACAGCCCAAGCACGCACAGAATGCCTTGCACTCCACCCTCTCCTCCAGTAACCCTCTCCTCAACTCTGCCCTCACTTCCTGTCATTGCTCTGCTCTGCACCACTGCATCGCTACATCCCTGCGCCATGGCACCATTGCTCCACGTAAATTGATCCCATCCCCACACCATTCCATTCAAAAGCCCGCCCCTACTCCCTCCCTAAGCCGTGCCCCATTCTGTGCAGGCCGACAGAGCCAGATCTTGGACGTGTCGTCGTATGTGCTGCTGCTGTGATGTATCGCAGGCACCTCCAGGCCCTTCACCCAAAGCGTAGGCTAGATGACGGCTCCAGGCCCGTACAATGGGCTTTACGGAGCCTTGGACCAGATTCAGGAATGTGAAATGGTGCTTTGATGGAGCGTTCATGTATTCAAGTGATTCATTCTATTTATGTATACGAGTTACCAACCGTATATTGGCCAGAGGCGAATGCGTTTTTACCGAGAATAAAACTGCATTCTGCGCTCTCCCTCGCGCGCCGCTAGCAAGAAGCTTCTCCCGAAAGAAGGCTTTCCAGTGCCACGTCAGATCCGAGATCCGCTCGCCCCTACCATCCGACCCGAGCTTCTAAAATCCTGTCCTTCATTATTCGCTCCCTCACTCCGCTGTGCCCCTTTTCCGTCTGCCCGATCGCGCGCTGTCGTGTGCGTTGCGTCGCCCATCATTCCTTCGCCCATTCCGCACATCCCGTCTCCACCACTTTCGCCCCTCTCGATCGCGACGCGTGCTCCCATCGCGCCAGTAGCTTCCGTCGCGCCGCTCGCTCCCATCGTGCCGCTCGCTTCCGTCGCGCCCATGTCCCTCGCCGCGGCGTCGGCGAGACGCCATGTGCGATGGCAGGCGATGCTGCTGCAGTCGCAGCTGATCGCCCAGCGATCGATCCTTTGCAGACCAACACTGGACCGATCACAACCGTTCGCCACCTCGCTGGACCGCGCACACGATCACCCAGTGCACGGTATCCCTTTCCTCTCTCCCAAGCCCCCCGTTTCCCCGCCATTCCCCCCGCCCCACGCACCCCTCGCCTCGACAGTGGCAGTATCCTCGTTACAAGATCACTCACCGGCAGAATACGACATCGCCCTGTTGAAGAATAGGAGACTAAGCATTTCATCCGCAAACGTGTTTCCGACGGCAGTTGCCGGCCAGGCGATGCCTGACCGTCAGGCGCTACCAGCTAGCCGGCAGGTCGTCCCGCACCACGTGCGCGCTGTGCAAGTCGTCATCCCTCAACTCACTTCTGCGCGGCCACTCTCTGGGCGGTCCGAGGGGGAAGCGGTCAGAAGCAGGGCGGAGGGGGAGGGGGAGGGGGAAGTGGTGGGGAAGGGGGAGGGGGAGGGGGAGGGGGAGGGGTAAGTGGGGGGGAAGAGGGAGGGGGAGGGGAAGGGGAGGCAAGGCGGGGACGAGGGAGGCAAGGGCGAGCAGGAGAGCAGCGACGGGGGCGAGCACAGTGGGAGCAACAGCAGCGGCGGCAGCAGCAGTGACGGCAGTAGTGGCAGCAGAGGCAGGCGAGGGGTGAGTAGTGCCTGCCACCCACATGGCTGCACTCCCCTTCCACTCTGCCCCTTCCACTCTGCCCCTTCCACTCTGCCCCTTCCACTCTGCCCCTTCCACTCTGCCCCTTCCACTCTGCCCCTTCCACTCTGCCCCTTCCACTCTGCCCCTTCCACTCTGCCCCTTCGCGCGCTTGTCACTGCTGCCACCGCCACTCGTGCACCGTGCCAAGCCTCATGTTCCGCCCTTCATTCACCCCCCCTCCTTTTCCCCCTTTCCCCCCCCGGCAGCCAGTGACGTGGGCGAGTCTGGCGCTGCTGCTGCTGACGGGAGGCGCACTGCTGACGTACTTTGAGAGCGAGAAGCGCAAGCGACTGGAAGGTGCGCGTGGGTGTGTGTTGTGCTGCTGGTGAAGGTGAGAGCGGGTGATTCGTTTTTGTAAGTTTGGGTGAACCCGGGAGAAAGTCAGGTGAAGGGCGGAGGCCAGGCGTGTCCCTATTGCAGTTGAGGCGCCTCAGAAGTCGTGAAGCGTAAAGACACACAGGGCCTATACCGCATGTGCCTGTCTCACCACGGCTGCCCTCTGCCCACATTGTGTCTCTCGGATCCATCGCTACTCTCCCTCTGCTTTTTCCTGTGAAGAGTTGTGCTCCCATTACAGGAGAGAAAGCAAGCTACCTGCTTTCTCTCCTGTGCTCTCATAACCTCAACTCTCCCCTCGGAGGGATTTGAAGCCAGTGGGTAGGCGGCCATACAAGGCCTTTTACCCCCCTCCCCCATGCCCCATCCCCTTCCCCTCGGCAGCTGTGAGGGAGTTGAAGCCGGTGGGCAAGGCGGCCATAGGGGGCCCGTTCACGCTGGTGGACGGCAATGGAAAGCCGTTGACAGAGGCGGATCTCAAGGGGCGGTGGGCGCTGCTGTACTTTGGGTTCTCCTTCTGCCCGGACATCTGCCCCAGCGAACTCATCAAGATCGCCCAGGCTGTCGACCTCGTGGGTACGTGTGAAAGGGGGAGGGGAGGGGAGCGCGTGCCTGAGAGTGTGTGCATGAGGCACATGCCACATCTTCCTCTTAGATCTCCTTCTCTCCATGCACAGTCGCAAGGAACCCCTTGCTGCCCCATGCACTCTCCATCCGCCACTGTCCCCTTACCCACCCCCACTCTCCCTGTGTGTGAGTGCAGAGAAGCAGGTGGGAGTGCAGGTGGTGCCGGTGTTCATCTCAGTGGACCCTGAGCGAGACACCGCTGATCAGGTCAAGGAGTACGTCAAAGGTGCGTGCCCGCTGCACTCACCTTGCACCGCATCGTACCGCCCTGCACCACCTTGCACTGCCTGGCACCACCGGTGTACATATCGGTGGAGCCCCTGAGCAAGACACCACGGAGCAGGTCAAGGAGGTGCGCACGTTCACCCCTCGGCACGTTCACCCCTCGGCACGTTCACCCCTCGGCACGTTCACCCCTCGGCACGTTCACCCCTCGGCACGTTCACCCCTCTGCACGTTCACCCCTCTGCACGTTCACCCCTCTGCACGTTCACCCCTCTGCACGTTCACCCCTCTGCACGTTCACCCCTCTGCACGTTCACCCCTCGGCACGTTCACCCCTCGGCACGTTCACCCCTCGGCACGTTCACCCCTCGGCACGTTCACCCCTCTGCACGTTCACCCCTCGGCATGTTCACCCCTCGGCACGTTCACCCCTCGGCACGTTCACCCCTCTGCACGTTCACCCCTCTGCACGTTCACCCCTCTGCACGTTCACCCCTCTGCACGTTCACCCCTCTGCACGTTCACCCCTCTGCACGTTCACCCCTCGGCACGTTCACCCCTCGGCACGTTCACCCCTCGGCACGTTCACCCCTCGGCACGTTCACCCCTCTGCACGTTCACCCCTCTGCACGTTCACCCCTCTGCACGTTCACCCCTCTGCACGTTCACCCCTCTGCACGTTCACCCCTCTGCACGTTCACCCCTCTGCACGTTCACCCCTCGGCACGTTCACCCCTCGGCACGTTCACCCCTCGGCACGTTCACCCCTCGGCACGTTCACCCCTCTACACGTTCACCCCTCTGCACGTTCACCCCTCTGCACGTTCACCCCTCTGCACGTTCACCCCTCTGCACGTTCACCCCTCTGCACGTTCACCCCTCTGCACGTTCACCCCTCTGCACGTTCACCCCTCGGCACGTTCACCCCTCGGCACGTTCACCCCTCTGCACGTTCACCCCTCTGCACGTTCACCCCTCTGCACGTTCACCCCTCGGCACATTCACCCCTCGGCACGTTCACCCCTCTGCACGTTCACCCCTCTGCACGTTCACCCCTCTGCACGTTCACCCCTCTGCACGTTCACCCCTCTGCACGTTCACCCCTCTGCGCGTTCACCCCTCTGCACGTTCACCCTCCTGCACCTCCTTGAAACTACCTGCACCTCCTTACACCTCCTTCAATGCTTCTCGTTCCTATATTCTCATCATTCCTCCTGTTCCTGCCTTGCTCCCATTGCACCCCTTGCTCCCCTGCTCATTCATCCCGCTGCAGAGTTCCACCCGAGAATGATCGGCCTCACAGGCACGCCAGAACAGGTGGGTGGCCTTGCTGTTATCTTGCCATTAGATGCTTCAGGCATGCAGCATGTTTTATAGTGACCGTGGACGTTTCATTGTGGTACGTCAGGTGATTTCTTCATGGTTGTTTACCTGCTCCTGCTCTCCCCCTCCCTCACCTTCCCCGCACCATGCACATGGGCTGCTGGTGGCAGGTGAAAGCAGCAGCACGTGCATTCCGAGTGTATTACATGAAGACAGAGGAGGAGGGGTACGACTACCTCGTCGATCACTCCATCATCTCGTGAGCACCCCTCCTGCCTTGCATCTGCTTCTCGCAAGTCTGTTACCTACCTCTCTGTCCATGTGGTTACCACATGGAGACAGAGGAAGAGGGCCACAAAATCCTCATTGATTGAGCGCACCCCTGCTGCCTTGCATCTGCCACTTGTCACCTCTATTTCCATGCAATTGCCGCCTTTCCTGTCTTCTCTTTCTTCCATCCTCACCAACCCCCTCCAATCTCCTCTCTCCCCCCACCACTCTCTTACCCTCAGGTATTTGATGAGTCCGGAGTTTGAGTTTGTTAAGTTCTTTGGCCGCAATCACACGCCAGAGGGGCTGGCAGACGGCATAGCAGGGGAGATCAAGGGCCATGGCAAGTAGATAGAATGTAGCATGCCTGAGCAGTGCCAGGCTGGAGGGAGCATACAGTAGATGCATGGTCAATGGCGTAGAGTGTATTGGAATGTGTTCCCTGCTTGTTATTGGAATGTGTCTCAACCATTCGCCCACGGCCCATTCTCGCTGCCTGCCAGCCTCACAGCTCGTCCTTCACGTCTCCTGCTTCTCGCCTTGCCTGCTCCGCTGCAGCCTCCTTCCTCCTCTGCTTCTCATACTCCTCTCCCTGCTCCTCCACCTCCTCCTCCAGGTTTTCAGGCAGGTGCAGTGCAGTGCCAGCATGCTTCCTGAGTGTGCCCACCATGTGCTTCCACCGCACTAGCCTGTCCTCTACTGTCACCTGAGGGGGCAGCACACAGCAATAAGGAGGAGGGGGAAGGGAGGGGGGAAGGAGGGAGGGGGGAAGGAGGGAGGGGGGAAGGAGGGGGGGGGGGAAGGAGGGGGGGGGGGGGGATGTGGGGAAATGGGGCATGCATAGGAGGCAGTGGGAGGTGAGAGGGCAGTATGAGCGAGAGAGCACCATGTGCTTCCCCCGCACCAACTGGTCTTCTCTGTCACCTGAGGGGGCTCCATACAGCAGGGAGAGGGGAAAGTGAATGGGGGGCAGCGAGAGGTGAGAGGTCGGGGATGTGGGTAGTGAGGAAAGAAATCACATGCGGGTGGGGGGAAAGGGGTGTTACAGCAAGGAAGAGACATGGTGATCGATTAACGCAGTTGATGAATTCCAAAGTCGCAAAGGAGCAACATGTGGGCGAGGTGGCAAGAGCAACATGTGGGCGAGGTGGCAAGAGCAACATGTGGGCGAGGTGGCAAGAGCAACATGTGGGCGAGGTGGCAAGAGCAAGGACGAGAGGACACACGGAGGCACACGAGACGGGGGCTTACTGGTTGGGATTTGCTGCCGGCCGGGTAGAGCATGACCGTTGGGAACGCCTCTAGCTGATGGCCATGGGGGGGGAGGGAATAGGAACGGAGGTAAGAACAAAGGGGGAAGGAGTTTTGAGTGGGACGGTCAGTCTTGCTGCCGGCTGGGTAGAGCATGAGCATGAGGATGAGGATGAGGATGAGGATGAGGATGAGCATGAGGATGAGGATGAGGATGAGCATGAGGATGAGCATGAGGATGAGCATGAGGATGAGCATGAGGATGAGGATGAGCATGAGGATGAGCATGAGGATGAGCATGAGGATGAGCATGAGGATGAGGATGAGCATGAGGATGAGCATGAGGATGAGCATGAGGATGAGCATGAGGATGAGCATAAGGATGAGCATCAGCATGAGCATGAGCATGAGCATCAGCATCAGCATCAGCAGCAGCAGCAGCATAAGCATAAGCATCAGCATCAGCATCAGCATCAGCATAAGCATCAGCATCAGCATCAGCATCAGCATAAGCATCAGCATCAGCATCAGCATCAGCATCAACATCAACATCAGCGTACCAGCATCAGCATCAGCATCAGCATCAGCGTACCAGCATCAGCATCAGCATCAGCATCAGCATAAGCATAAGCATAAGCATCAGCATCAGCATCAGCATCAACATCAGCATCAGCGTACCAGCACAAGCATCAGCATCAGCATCAGCATCAGCATAAGCATCAGCATAAGCATAAGCATAAGCATCAGCATCAGCATCAGCATAAGCATAAGCATCAGCATCAGCATTAGCATCAGCATAAGCATCAGCATCAGCATCAGCATCAGCATCAGCAACAGCATCAGCATCAGCGTACCAGCATCAGCATCAGCATCAGCATCAGCATAAGCATCAGCATCAGCATCAGCATCAGCAACAGCATCAGCATCAGCATAAGCATCAGCATCAGCATCAGCATCAGCATCAGCATCAACATCAGCATCAGCATCAGCATCAGCGTACCAGCTGATGGCCATGTGGGGGAGGGGAAAGCGGAGGGGTGGGGGGGTGGAAGGGGGAAGCTTCTGAGTGATCTTTAAGCTTGGTCTCTACCCCAAGGTCATCCGCCGCAGGGCTTATGCACTGACCTCGAGGCCCGGCACCTCGTTTGAGGCCAAGTCTGTGGTGGCGACGAGCAGCGCGGGGGCATAGAGTAGCAAGGGTGCATTGACCTGGATGGAGCAGTCAGCGCTGTCGCGCTGAGCAGAGAGGCGCACACGCACTGAGCAGAGAGGCGCACACGCACTGAGCAGAGAGGCGCACACGCACTGAGCAGAGAGGCGCACACGCACTGAGCAGAGAGGCGCACACGCACTGAGCAGAGAGGCGCACACGCACTGAGCAGAGAGGCGCACACGCACTGAGCAGAGAGGCGCACACGCACTGAGCAGAGAGGCGCACACGCACTGAGCAGAGAGGCGCACACGCACTGAGCAGAGAGGCGCACACGCACTGAGCAGAGAGGCGCACACGCACTGAGCAGAGAGGCGCACACGCACTGACCTCCAAGCCAAGCACGAGGGCAACTGACCTCGAGCCCTGGCACCTCATTGGAGGCATAGTCCATGGCAGCGAAGAGCAGTGAGGGGCGGCCGCTCAGGCGCTCCGCCAGACGCGTGAAGTGCGGCAGCAGCTCGTCACATGAGGGGCACTCGTCTGAAAAGCTTAGCTGCCATGGCAAGGGCGAGGGAGGTGGGGTGGAGTTGGGGATTGGGACGGGGGGGATGCGAGACGTGTGGCAGCAGTTAGTCACATGACGGACACTCGTCCGTAAAACTCGCTGCCCATGCATGTAGGCCGGAGAGGCGGATTGGGAAGGTGTGGGGGATGCGAGCTTTTTGAGGTTTTGCACGCGTGCAAGCTCTTAATGGTAATGGGAATAGTAATGGTAATTATAGTGGTAATGGTAATGGTAACGGTAATGGCAGTGGTAATGGTAGTGGTAATGGTAATGATAATGGTAATGATAATGGTAATGGTAATGGTGATGATAATGTTAGTGGTAATGGTAATGGTAATGGTAATGGTAATGGTAATGATAATGGTGATGATAATGTTAGTGGTAATGGTAGTGGTAATGATAGTGATAATGGTAATGATAGTGGTAATGGTAATGGTAATGGTAGTGGTAATCTGTACAGCCTTTGCTTTGTCCGCACACATGCACATGCATGGCACAGCATGGCATGGCATGGCACCATGTCAATCCTTCCCATTTTAAAAGCATTCCCTTGACAACCCCCCCCCCATCCCTCGCCCAGCACAACCATCACCCACCCATTATCACCATCCCTCACCCATTGCCACAACCACCTCCATCGCAAGCTCGTAGTACGTGCTGCCCACCACTGTTGAGTCGCTGCAAAGGTCACATCCCACGCACCACCACCACTCACCCAGCACCACCACACCGCATCCAGCAGCACCACCTTGCACCCACCATGAGCATGACGTCCTTGGAATCATCCATTACAATCTCGTTGAACGTGCTGCCCACCACTGTGCGCACCACCCCATCGTTCTGCCCCGCGAGAGCAGGGTAGCGGGGTAGAGGGCGTGGGGAGGAAGGTGGGAGGGCGGGCGCACATGCGTACAGGGAAGGGGGGAGTGGAAGCATTGGTGAGCACAGATGCATGACCATGATAACTTGCCATGCATCATGGCCACTCCATGACACGTGGCTGTTCAGACCAAATGTACTCGGGCAGCAGGTCGCCCACGAAGAAGGTTGTCTTGGAATGTGAAATGTGGATTGTCAATCAGCGTGCACCACACACCTGCCCCACGGGCACGCACCTCCTCAGGGACGGGGTCGTGCTTGTGCTAGGGCGGCAGTTCACCTGCCAAGAAGGACTCTTGACAGCTCTCAAACAGCATTCACCATGCACGTGCGCACAGCACTCACCTTCCCTGCCACACACACCTGCCCCACGGGCCATGGGGCCACGCACCTGGTCAGGGACAGGGTCGGACTTGTAGTAGGGCGGCAGTTCACCTGCCAAGAAGGCTGTTATGAACTCCTGGTTCGGCGAGGGGGAACCGCAGGGTGGGAGAGAGGAAGGAGAGAAGGGAGAAAGGGGACGCGTGAGTTGTGTTTCAAGGAGAAACTTGGCACGACATGGCGGAGCATGTGGTTGGGAGCAAGCCGGCTGTGCAGGGCACATTAGCGTGCAGACAGGCACATGAGCGTGCAGAGGCACATGAGCGTGCAGACAGGCACACCTGCACGTTGGCAGGGGTGGGTTCCCCTGGCAAGCGGTGCTTGGCCTCGTGATGCTCTCCACTTGGGTGTGGGAGAAAACAGCCCACACCATTGTCTTGTAAGGTTTCGCATAAGTGAATGCCGGGCACACAAGCAGGCGAGCGCACCTGCATGTTAGAAAGAGTAGGTTCCCCTGCGAGGCGGTGCTTGGTCTCGTGATGCTCGCCCTCCTCCGTGTATGAGACCACAGCCAGCACGGCCGTCTCGCCCTCGCGGATTCCAAAGTAGTCCATTGGCTGGCCTGATGTGTCCTCATCACTCGAGTCCACCACCATGAAGAACACCTGCAGGGGGGCATGCAGGGCGCATGTGCAGCACGTGCGTGCAAAGGGGGGGAGGTGCCATGCATTTGAAAGAGCACAGCCAGCACTGCGGTCTCAACCTTGTGAATGCCAAAGTAGTGCATGGGCTGCCCTGATGTGTCCTCATCACTGGAGTCCACCATCATGAAGAACACCTGCAGGGGTGGGGGGCATGCAGGCAAGTAGGGAGGGGTCGGGATGCTGGGCATGGGAGATAGCAGAGTAGTCCATGGGCTGCCCTGATGTGTCCTCATCCCTGGAGTCCACCATCATGAAGAACACCTGATGGGGCGTGTAGGGAGTGCAGGGCATGCAGAACATGCAGGCAAGGGAGGGGTGAGGTGGTGTGCATGGGAACGAGCGAACTAGTCCATGGGCTGCCCTGATGTGTCCTCATCCCTGAAGTCCACCATCATGAAGAACAGCTGGCGGGAATGGGGGGGAATGCAGGGAATGCATAAGGGCATGTGTGCAGGGCATGCTTGCAAGGCATGCATGTCAGCAACGGATGAGCTGCGGTACATGGGATGGAGCAGAGGCTTATTCTTGCATGCGATTCTTTGCATCCCACCCGTTACCCACGTGCTCACCTTGCCCACGTGCTCACCTTGCCCACGTGCTCACCTTGCCCACGTGCTCACCTTGCCCACGTGCTCACCTTGCCCACGTGCTGCCTGGCGAGGGGAGTGAGAGACTCCTCAAAGTGAGGGAAGGCGGTGCGCGGGCAGAAGATCACGATCTGTCAAGGGGGGGAGGGACGCATGGGCGGAGGGGAGGCGTGGGCGGAGGAGAGGCATGGGCGGAGGGGAGGAATGGGCGGATGAAAGGTGTGATTGGATAAGCCAATAGCAAGGGCAGACATGGGAGGAATGAGCGACATGGCAAAGCAGCCAGCCACTTTTGTGACTCATTATCCTTCTCTGCTCACAAGCCCTGTGCGCCCCACCACTCCCTCACAAGCTCTGTTCGTCCCCCCCCACTGCCGCCCCATTGCTCACATGCCCCTTGCTGTCTTTCCCGGACTGCTGGGCAGCAGCATCGTCCATGTGTACAAAGAACTGCACTGCAGCCTGTTGCCATGCCCGTGGAATGATATTGTTGTTGCCATGCCCGTGGAATGATATTGTTGTTGCCATGCCCTTGGAATGATATTGTTGTTGCCATGCCCGTGGAATGATATTGTTGTTGCCATGCCCGTGGAATGACATTGTTGTTGCCATGCCCGTGGAATGATATTGTTGTTGCCATGCCCGTGGAATGATATTGTTGTTGCCATGCCCGTGGAATGATATTGTTGTTGCCATGCCCGTGGAATGATATTGTTGTTGCCATGCCCGTGGAATGATATTGTTGTTGCCATGCCCGTGGAATGATATTGTTGTTGCCATGCCCGTGGAATGATATTGTTGTTGCCATGCCCAGTGGAATGATATTGTTGTTGCCATGCCCGTGGAATGATATTGTTGTTGCCATGCCCGTGGAATGATATTGTTGTTGCCATGCCCGTGGAATGATATTGTTGTTGCCATGCCCGTGGAATGATATTGTTGTTGCCATGCCCGTGGAATGATATTGTTGTTGCCATGCCCGTGGAATGATATTGTTGTTGCCATGCCCTTGGAATGATATTGTTGTTGCCATGCCCGTGGAATGATATTGTTGTTGCCATGCCCGTGGAATGATATTGTTGTTGCCATGCCCGTGGAATGATATTGTTGTTGCCATGCCCGTGGAATGATATTGTTGTTGCCATGCCCTTGGAATGATATTGTTGTTGCCATGCCCGTGGAATGATATTGTTGTTGCCATGCCCGTGGAATGATATTGTTGTTGCCATGCCCGTGGAATGATATTGTTGTTGCCATGCCCGTGGAATGATATTGTTGTTGCCATGCCCGTGGAATGATATTGTTGTTGCCATGCCCGTGGAATGATATTGTTGTTGCCATGCCCGTGGAATGATATTGTTGTTGCCATGCCCGTGGAATGATATTGTTGTTGCCATGCCCGTGGAATGATATTGTTGTTGCCATGCCCGTGGAATGATATTGTTGTTGCCATGCCCGTGGAATGATATTGTTGTTGCCATGCCCGTGGAATGATATTGTTGTTGCCATGCCCGTGGAATGATATTGTTGTTGCCATGCCCGTGGAATGATATTGTTGTTGCCATGCCCTTGGAATGATATTGTTGTTGCCATGCCCGTGGAATGATATTGTTGTTGCCATGCCCGTGGAATGACATTGTTGTTGCCATGCCCGTGGAATGATATTGTTGTTGCCATGCCCGTGGAATGATATTGTTGTTGCCATGCCCGTGGAATGATATTGTTGTTGCCATGCCCGTGGAATGATATTGTTGTTGCCATGCCCGTGGAATGATATTGTTGTTGCCATGCCCGTGGAATGATATTGTTGTTGCCATGCCCGTGGAATGAACCTGCTGCTGCCATGCACCAATTCACATGCCCTGTGCTGCCTTCCCCCAACTCCTAACCCACCACTCACGTGCCACTTGGTTTTTTTGCCGAATTCCTCAGCAGCAGCACCGTCCATGTGCACAAAGGGTGGCAGCCTGTTGCCACTCACAAGCCCTCAGCCGCCACCCCTGCCATCCCCACCACTCACGTGCCACTTGGTGTTTTTCCCAAACTGCTCAGCAGCAGCATCGTCCATGTGCACAAACAGGGGCAGCCTGTTGCCATGCACGAACTCCGCTATCGCCCCGCGCGTCACCTCGCCCTCTGATGGAGGGGGTACACAGAGATGGACGGCAGGGATGGACGGCAGGGACGGACGGCAGGGATACCCTGCACCGCTGGCTCATATGCTGCACCGCCCGCTCATACGCTGCACCGCACGCTCATACGCAGCACTGTTTGCTCATACGCTGCACCACCCGCAAATATTCTGCACCGAGCACTCATACGCTGAACCGCGCGCTCATACTCTGCACCGCACGCTCATACACTGCACCGCACGCTCATACACTGCACCGCACGCACTACACTGCACCACACGCACATACACTGCACCGCATGCACATACACTTCACCGCACGCCCGGGGAAGCAGGGACGCGTGGGGATGGGCGGCGAGCAACGCACCGAACTGCAGGAAGGTGTCGGTTCTACTCTTGAGCACGGCCACCACGCCCCCCTCCGCGCCTGTGCTCGCCAGGGCAGCAGCAGCGTCGCCCTGCCAGCCCAGCGCGGCGGCCACTGCAGCGTGCGTGGTGAGCGCGAACCGCACGCCCTCCACGTCCTTCGATGCACCTCTGAACTCCGCTGCTGCCGCGCCCTGGCAGTGGGGGGGAAGCAGGACGGGGAGGAAGGAGGACGGCGGCTTTGGAGTCGCCTCACAACCGCACGCCCTCCACGTCCTTGGACGCGCCCCTGAACTCTGCTGCTGCTGTGCCCTTGGAGTGGGGGTAAAAGTTGGACGTGCACAGAGGGGGGGGTGTGACTTTTGACGACTCACAACTGGATGCTCCTCTTGGGTTCCCTTATGCTCCCTTATGCTCCCTTGTGCTCCCTTGGGTACCCTTGGGTTCCCTTGGGTTCCCTTGGGTTCCCTTGAGCTCACCTGCGTCTCATGCTCACCTGAGTGTCATGCACGAGGGCAAGGGCGAGTGCAGTGACGGAGTCGTCGAGCAGCGAGTCGAGAGAGGGCAGGTCGGAGGGCGATGCAGGGTCCAGCACGGCCACGCTGCGCCCGCTCTTCCGCGTCACCCACGCCACCACGTCCTCGCTGCGAGGGGGTTGGGTGGCACGCGGAGAGGACGCGAGAGGAAAGAGTGAGCAGTGCAACGTGTGCGACTTTCCTCTCCACGAGGATGAAGAGCCGGCGCAGTGCCATTGTGGGACACACTCGTACGGCATTTCAGACAGTTCAAAATGGCTTTAAGTCGACTCAACAGTCATTCAAGTAAACTCGATGGTCATCCCGCTCACCTGTGGAACTCGTCGCACGGCTGCAGGCGGCCCTTCTCCGCCCACACGAACAGCGGCGGCTCACCGTCGTCCCCAGCGCCCTCCGCCACCGCCTTCTCTAGCACCCCCGCGTGCTTCAGCGCGTCCACCTTGCCCACCAACACCCCCCCGCCCGCCTCCTTCAGGGCCTCCGCCGCTTCGCGCAGCTGCGGGGGGGAGGAAGGGCGGGGAGGATGGTTGCGGGGTGGGGGAGGGGGAGGGGGGTGTGGGGAGCGAGGGGTGGGGGATGTAAGAATCAGGGGGCGCGTCTGAGGAGATCGGGGGGCGCGGAATGCGAAGAGTAGGCGGAAAACCTGTGTGGACGTTACAACACGGACGGGCGGAGGGCAAAGTGGAAGCGTTTCATCTAGGACCACCGCGCACTTGGCGGTACGTGCGCGACGAGGTAGGCACCGCGGCTGCAGCGCGCAATCAACCTCGTGCCGCCCCCCTGCTCGTGCGATCCCTGAGTCGATTCAAGGATCGCTGCGGTGCTGGCTCACCTGGACCATGTAATTCTTGCATCGCTGCGGTGCTGGCTCACCTGGACCATGTAGTTTTTGCATCGCTGCGGTGCTGGCTCACCTGGACCATGTAGTTCTTGCATCGCTGCGGTGCTGGCTCACCTGGACCATGTAGTTCTTGCATCGCGGGCACGAGCTGTTGTACAGCAACGCGAGAACGTACTCGTGCTGCCTCAGTGCCTCGTTAAACGACGCCTCGCTCAAATTCACAATGTCACCGTCATCGCCGTCCGGAATATCGGGAAGCTGAGGACTGTCGTCATCTCTCGCTTGGTCCTCTGTGGTGAGCGCTACCGGCAAGATAGTCGCGAGGATAATCAGGGCGAGAAGAAGTGTAGAAGCATTAGCAGCCATGGCTAAGCTTGGAAATGGATAAACTTGAAATGGATAAGGGGGGTGGAGTGATGATGTAATGGTGACGGACAGATCTGCCTGTGCTGCTTTCCTCTTTGCTCGTCAGCGGCGGTGAGATGGTTTTCAGTCCAGCAGGCCGAAGCGCGAGTGATTCCTTGGTCTTCATTGTTGAGGGCAGACCCTGTTTGCGCTACATCGTTTCAACTTTGAATACCAGCAGCATATTCACTGAATGGCAGATAATAGCCCAGCAAAACTTACAGCATATGGGCCATCATTCAACATAACATCTCATATACTGTGTTTTGATTCAATCATCGTGTATATTTTTCATTGATCTTCATCTAATGATATTCTGTTAGCTATTCATTTATTTGACATTAAAGTATATCCTTTGAAAGTAAGCTGGTGTTTGTGTACTGATATACAGTTATCTCGCATTCTGTACCGCTGTACTGCGATCAGCTAAAACGCAGATCTGTGGAATTCCCTCTGCTGGCGTGAGCAAAGAAGCACCAAGCGATTTCAGATGAGGGACCCGTAGGACAACCTCAAGGGATCCTCGCAGATTCCAACTAGCTGCTTGTAGTTCCAAGTCCAAGGATAGTCGGCTTCCCCAACACCGCCATCTCGAGGATTAAGTTAAACGCCTCTGGTGCTGGCTTATTGGATTCGTGGCCGCGATACATTGCAGTGTTTATCGATAGTGTTTCATCGTCGCAATGGGGGTGAGGATTGACTTTTTTCCTGGAAAAGAATCTCGTCGGTATTTGTGCTAACTAATCTCTCTCACTCGTTGCAGATCTCTGTAAAGGTGACTGGAATTACAGACAAGGCGGCACTTCAAGACATTTACGATTTCTTCTCGTTCTCCGGACCCATCGAAAGCATTAATCTTGAGAAAGAGTATGTGTGAACACGTCACGTCCCTGAACTTTCACTTCTGTCAACAGTGACGCGCACCAGTATACCTTTCATCAACATAAAGTAGAAGATACTTATTATTTCATGGTGCGGCTTCATGTTGTGATTCGCGTTGGCAGTGCGGAGGGTGACGTACAGACTGCTCATGTGACATTCTCCGAGCAAAAGTCGATGGAGACTGCTCTACTGCTGACGGTAGGATTCCACAGTCTTTCGCGTTGGTACACCCACTTTCCGCGTTCAGTAATCCCGAGTGTGATGATGCGTGTTGATAGCGTCGATTGATTCGTTCATCCGTCTGTCAATCCCGTGTGTCAGGGTGCCATGATCTTGGACAAGGTCGTAATCGTGGAGCCAGCAACAGACTACGAACCTCCCAGCACGGCGAAGTTTTATGATACATCCAAGGGAGAAGGGAAGGTAGGCACGCATTTCATCCACTTGTTTACACTAACACAACGATGAGAGAGAGCGCATGACCTTCACTTTGATATACGATATCGAAACTTACCAACATTCTTGTTCCTGACACTCTCAGGAAACTCCGAGTAGCCCAGCGACCAACATTGCCACAGCAGCTCAAGAGATGGTTCGCTCTCTCTTATCTCGAGGATACACCCTCGCTCAAGACGCTATGCAGCGCGCCCGTGACCTGGATGCTAGGCTGGCTTTCTCTAGCTCTGCTGCTGCAGGCACTGCTGCCATTCGTGATGGCATCGTCGCCCTGCCATCCACAATCTCTGAAGGAGCCAAAACCGTTGGCACCAACGTCTCAGAAGGAGCCAAGGTGGTGGGCTCTACAATGGCAGAGGGTGCTAAGGCTGTTGGATCAACAGTCTCAGAGGGAGCTAAAGTTGTTGGATCAAGCGTTGCAGCCACTGCTGATACTATCGACAAGAGGCTATACATCTCACAGAGTTTCAAAGCAGGGACAGGAGCCTTGGCCAAGTCCTTGAGTGTCGTTGATGAAAAGCTGCACCTGTCTGAGACCACCAGAGGGGCGTTTGTGGCTGCGGAGACAAAGCTGAACGAGGCTGGAGAGATTTTGGTGCAGAATAAACTCTTTGCCTCCAGCAAGGACTTCGTGATGGGTGTCACTTCCAAGATATCAAACATTGTTGAAGGGGAGGCGAAGGCATCTCTAGATGCTGCCGCTTCCACGGAGGGAAGCAAGGATGGGGACGAAGCAGCCAAGCCAGTCGAGCCTGAAACGGAGGGAGCAGCTGCCAAAAACACTGTAGCCGATGCTTCTCCAGCTGCCCCAGATGCGTCGCCTGTTGATGCGGCAGCAGAAGCGACCAAGACAGCGTCAGATGCTCCCGCACCAGCTAGTAAGTCCAAGGATGAAGACACCCCAGTTTTCTGAATGTGCCCTAGTCCAAGTTGAATGTCACAATGTGCTTGATGGTCAGTTACGGAAAGATTATGGTTCATAAAAAAACAACTTATCCAATGTATGATAGGGAGTCTTCCAATGGAGGTGTTACTGAATTCTACAACTATCCTGTTTGTAGACGTAGTGTGCACTATAATCAACCCTGCTCCAGGAGTGCTGACAATGACGCATCTAGCTTCTCTGCAATGCTCCCAAGCCACACCTGTGGCCGAAAAGAGGAAGAAGCAATTCCATAGATACGAATACAAGGCCAAGAAACTTGAACAAATCTAGAAGCAAATAAACAATTATATGAATGCTCCTTCTGTCCACACCTGATGGAGAGGTGTGAAGCCTCTGATTGTATCGCTGCCCATAACAATCACCCCGTCTCCATCCCCTAGAGGTTGTACTGTTGCAGCCTGTAGGACATTTTATTTGCATGGGCTAGCAAAATTATGATGCATACGCGCCAAATACAGGCATCAAAGGGAGCAGTGACAAAAAGAGCTCACCTGCGTGTTGTCTGGAAGGAACTCAAAGAGCTCGTATCTTGCTGGAAACAAAATGAGGTTAGCTAAATAGTTTGCTGCTCAATAGAGAAAAACACAGGGGTGAGGGTGGTGAAGAAGAAAATAATGAATTCCGATAAGTGGATAACCGCCCAACAATCCACAATCCTTTAGTGTGAACATACGGCGTCCAGACTTGAGAACCGTGGAACAGATGGAGCCCGAAAGAAGCTTCTCAGCATCCACTGTAGCAGCAGTAGTGACACCAGGCATGTTGGGTGCTGGAGTCATGCTGCCTACTTGCAGAATACATTGCCCCTTGAAAATAATGACTAGTGAACGGCAGGGGGTGTTGAAATTGAGAGAAGTCCATGCCCTGAGACGGAAAACAGAGGGACAATTCAAAGAAGGTGACTAATACGACCACTCCAAGGTGAGATTATGGAAAACGGTGGGGCTGGAAAACGGTGGGGCTGTAGAATATGCTCAAGCACTATTTCAATGAACTGTAGAATGTAGATGAGGGAAGGCGCACGTGCCAGTTCAACTCTTGTTGAACGGGTTGAGGCAGGGATGGCAGCATGCGGTGGCAGGGAACACCATTAAGGACCACCTGAAGACATTCCAGGAAGGGAAGCACTGCAGGTTAGACTGAATAAAAGAGGCAGAAGAATTAGTAACTCATTACAGCAGGAAAGGCCGCTACTGTTTGCAACACGTGTAGATTCCTCCCATCACTAGATCAAGCCTTACAACGCTGGCAGGGTTGGGCTATACCGGGGTCTGTGGTTTGGGTCGAAGCGCCAGCCACGACAGGCCTGACAGCACCATAGAGGCGGCCAGGACCAGGCAGATGACGTCAGCACGTGCCTGCGCGCTGGCAGAGAAACGGCAGGCGAAGGAAGGGGAACGGATGGATGGCGCGAGGTGACCGGAGGGGCGTGCAGTGAGGGGAATGGCGGAGTGGGGGAAAGGGGGGAGGCGCGCACTGGGAAACGGCGCGGTGGACTCCACTTACGTGGGGATGCGACACGCGCACAAAAGCAGCGAGGAGCTTCTCTCACCTGCCCGCGTCAGCGACGGCCGGAATGCCCCACACCACGCGGTTCACCAGCACCACCGCTCCGCCCGCCGCCCCTGCTGCGAGCGGCAGCAGCCTGAGAGCGTCCGCATACCGCGCCACCCAGTCTTCCGCGCCCGCAGCTGTTGAGGACTGCCCGTTATTAGTCGCGGAGCAGTGCACGCGATTCCCCTGACCTCCTCGGCTTACTTGCAGCGGAAACTGGTTACGGGCTCTTGCCAGCTTACGTTCCCGCAAAGTGATTTCTTTCCCGCCATTGACAGTTCGAGGTCCGAGGAAAACAGCAGACGGACGAACGTGTCTGTGGGTTGAAAGTGATGGTCGAGCCGCGATACTTAATGGCCGCTCATGAAAATGAATAGTCGACATGGTGAATGGCGTGGAATGGGGGGATAATGGGCAGTCTAGTTCTGATGGCCCACAAAGTTGTCCTCTAAATAATAAAATAATAAGCCACAAGATTATTCAACAACATGCCCTTACCTTAATGCAGTTCACCTGTATCGAATCATTGGTGTCCAAAAGTTGAGCTTTTGAGTGCTGGCTGGACGCCACGTCAAATAAGTGCCATCAACCAATCAAATTGTGCGATCTGACCCTCGAGAAGCCAGGCGGGAAACAATTCCCCAGGAACTGTCAGCTCCCCTTCTGCGAACCCGAAGTCTGGTAACCGCTAGTCGTCGCATATCCTTCTAGAACGTCAAGGTTTGCCTCGTCACCCCACGTCCGGCCAATCGTGAACGACCAGCTGCAAACGAAACGGCATTGACCGACCTTCTGGACGTCGTCTCTGTGCTTCTGCGATTCGTTCGGATACCGTCAGTCGCGAGCCTCGCCTCATCCAAACGCAGTGATCCTCCTCTCCACTCCCATCACCATCATCTCCCAATCTCCTCTCCTCTCCTCTCCCTGTAACTCAAATTCCTCTCTTTCGTCCTCGCATCTTTCAAGGATCTTCGTTCATCCATTCACTTCTGAAAGCTAATCGCTCAGATTGCCGGCCTAAGAATGGCTCCGCGGAGCTGCCTTGTGGCGCTCCTTGCGTTCCTCCTTGTATTCCAGACGCTCTCAGGTACTTTCGAGCATAGCGTAAGCTCTTAATTGCATG